AAAAATATATTTAAAATGTACATGTTGGATGTTTTGGACATATTAAAAACATCCAGATTAGATCCATGTTTTAAAGACATCCAGTTTGAATTTCTTAAAAACATTCATTTTAGGTCGCAATGGGTTAAAACTGGACTAAATTATATTAAGTAAGACCACAATCAAAATAAAATGATTCTTATATGAATATTATTATTGATTAATATCTTATTCCAGAATACATATCATAAAATTATGATAAAAAAAACGTTTTTCCCTGAATTCGGGAACTAATTTCACAGTGAAATGGTCACCCATCCAGTTATATACCGTCAACCACTATCCTTGACTTCTTGTCATCCACTATCCTTGACTTCTTATCCTTGAGATCATATGGAAACTGCTGCACTTCAATGATCCACGAATACCTATATAATCATAGATGTATAGTTATGATACATCTGTTCAATATGGACCTGATAGAAATTTGTGCAGTTCAACTGAACATCCAGTCAGTTATTGTCTAATATTTAATCTTAATATTATAATGACTATTTTCAGGTTAGGAAATCATATGTTGTACCTTCACAGTTATCATATATATATTGTCTTCGACTAGAGATCTCCACAGTCTCTCTCCTGATAATAGTACGCCATACTGATACAGTACGATACAATACCATAATGCATCTAAACAGTATGCAGTATAGACTTTTGTATCATTGAAAATTTTCAACACAACACAGGTGTCTATGGGACGTTCAGAAAACATTTATACATACTAACAAAAGTGAAACTCCTCGTGCGAGCTTAAAAAAATATTCACTTGTCAAGTCAGCAAAAACAATACGTCGCGAGCAGATTTAGAAAATTTTTTGCATGAAATAAACATTTTTAAAATGTCCAAATGTGAACATATTTTATATGTTGCGTAACGTATTTAAAACGTAATAATAAAACATTTTAACGTTTTTAAAACATTTGTACTAAGTCCACGAATGTTCAGACTTAATAAAAATCAGATTTGGACGTCCAATGGACGTTGTGTACTGTCTGGATATATAATTGAGGGAAATTAATAAGGGAATATACCTTCATCTTTCGAGATCAAAAAACATGGCGACCATGATAAATTAATATCATTGAATCGGTACCGTCGAAATATTAAAATTCCGGTTACAATCTGTTCAACAAAATTAGAGTACGAAGTTAACTTCGGTTTCAGAGTCAGACAAAGCGATCCACTGTCACCACTAATCTTCATCTTGATCATGAACAAGGTCTTAGCTGGGTCATCTCTGAATAGGGAATATGATTTGGCGGGATGTAACGTGAATGTCCTATTCTTTGCCGATGATTTTGTCATTATTGGCTCAACAAATAAGATACGCAGCTGGTATTGAATAGGATAGGAAAAACGTTGAAGTACTATGAGTTAGAATTATTGCCCACTAAGTAATTAAACAAGATGGCATCATGTTATTTAAAACTACTATCCCACGACTATTGTTGGATAGACTACAGTGCCTTAAGATATCGAATATGATTTGATATGGAAGACACAAGACTACAGTGTTGTAATCGGACTTTATTGTAAATTTGTTGTCATTTGGTCTAAGACGAGTAAAATGATCACCACCTCGTAACCGATTCTATGAAGAAGAACTGCCTTGATTCTCGTGCAGATCCTTAGAATAAATTATTCATCAGATCAGCAGAACCTCTTTGCGTCTTTCGCTGAATCCCTTCATTATAACTAGACGATGTATTCTATAGAAGAATGAGTCTTACGTATGTCCATGTACGTCGTAGACACTGTAGCACTGAATCGGACTTCTAAGTGTATCCCTGCTCTATTCGCTTTATGAGATTTACAATATAGAAAGTGTAGAAGCAAGATTTCATAAGCTTTTGGATAATACATAACAATATGTGTTTTTTCAGACACTTCATTATGTACAAATCATAAATAACAAATTAAACGGTTATAATTGGTCAGAATTATAATGCAATCGTGCAACGAGTGCACGTTACCTCTTCACGATTCATGTTCGCGGATATATATATATATAATATATAAATTCTGTATACGCGTTGGCTCGAACTACATGTTCGTTTTAATTGCCTATTTCACGTTAAACCGTATAATGTATGGAATTCTAGGGCACTGAACTGAGCTTGACGCATATCATCTTGTTTGCAATCCGTAATAGCGTGATATGACGCAACATGGATTATCGAAACTATCGATTTTATTTCGACTTATTCGCGTTTTAACGTATGCTTCGTGTATTTACGATATTTACGCGCACTTCTATTTTAATATTTGATTGAGTTTAATTACACAATACATTACTTACGAATGGAAATCTCCCATTTTTATTTGCGGCGATGCGACCCGTGTCATACCCGACGAGAGACTCCTCGAGTCATAGCGGCTTCTTTATTCCGCCTCCTTCTTGACTCTCAATGGTAATGGCAGATCACGTGGTTCCTTGCACTCCAATCCCTGTATTGTTACGCCAATATCCGGTATTCTTACGCCATGGTATTGAATGTTTGATCCAAATATGTTTTTATCCCTTGTTTCGCTTGTTTAACTTAAACATAAAATAAAATGAATTATAAACGAATTTATTAATATTGAACCTTAATTCCTTTTCCTTCACATGAGAATCAATGTCTGAATGTTTAAATGTCTGTACCTTAACAATCTATAATAATGTATCTTTATTACTGAATAATAAAATTTAATAAATGTAAGAAAACACTCTTCCTATAAAGCTAATGCATTTATCTTTAGTTTAATAATAGAAAATAAATTCTTTATTGTAAGTACATAGAAAACCTAACTTCCATCTATCGTATTATATAACTATCACTTTAAATGAGTATATATATAGAGAGTATTTTAGAAATAGTTGGCTAAACTGTAAAAGCATATTCCATTCATTGTAAAGATGGAAAAAAGTCACATAAACATGGGTTCGAAAACGCTTCCTTTCCAAATTATAAACAATTTTTTTAATTTTTTAATTTTATACTTATATCTATATTTTCATTACAGATATTGCTGCAAATAATTTTCTTCAGCATTGATGCATGCTTCGCATCGACGTCGCATGAATTATCGAAGATGTTTAAAAATTCTTAGAGTATTTCGTATTTTTTCACATGCAGCGATAATACGATTTCGGAATACTTTCACAGTAGCAACAAGAATATCATACACGAGAATCTTAAAATGTACTCATAAATAAAAATCCAAAGGATTCAAATCAGGAGACCAAACAATAGGGATCCTCCTCTATTGATCCATCTATTGATGTAATTATTATTTAGGAACTCTTGAGCATTGCGGCTGAAATATGCTGGAGCTCCATCATGCACGAACCACATTTGATTGCGTATCTGTAGTGGAATGTCTTCTAATATTAGAGAGAATTACGTTTCGAAAAATTATCTGTAGTTGTTGCCATTAAGTGTTGATGGAAGAAAAATCAGTCCAAGAAGGAAATCTCCCATAATATCAATTCATACATTGCACGAACTTACGCTGCTGCTGAGATTCAGTAATACCCTAAGGATTTCCGTATGACCATAGATGATTATTATGTACGATTGTGGTATAGCGATAATTTGTTATAGCATCCTGCGAAAAATTTGCTTTATCTGTGAAAAGTATCGACACTTCAAAATTTGGAAAAGTTGCAATTGCACTGAGTAAAAATTACTCGTGATGGATAATCCGCTGATAAGAGAGTTTGTACTCGTTGTATGTGATAAGAATGCATACGAGCTTTTAATATCCTCCACATAGTTGAGAAAGAAATGTTTTTTTAATGCGATTTGTTGATCTCGTATTAAGTCTTGAATTTTCTGTGACTCGTCTAATCACTTGTTTTTTGATTGAAGCTGTTCGAATGATTCTGCTTCGTCCTCGATTAACTGTATTAGGCAAGAAAGATTCTGTTTCCCTAAGTCGACGATGGACCCAACTGAAGATATTTTTAGCAGGGCATCGTTTTTGAAGGAAGATTTGTTAATAGAGATGTTGAGCCTCTCTACAGTTTCCATTAGCTCGCCCATACATGTAGTAGATATTTGCCAATTCGATAGCTTAATTAGAATAAGCTGCCATGTTGATGAATACTATCTTAATCTTAAATATTTAAATAAAGATTGATTCCAATTTCATACAGACCTATCTAATAACTCTTTGTTTACTTTAGAAGGTGAATAGAAGTACAATTCATAAAACGAAGCGAGGCATGCCGTCCAACGTAAATATGTACAATTTAAATAAGAAATGTCTATAACTTGGAATAGAAGCATTTTCGAATGTTTGTATGACTTTTTTCATCCTTACAATGAGTGGAATATGATTTTAGTGTTTGGCCAACTATTTCTGAAATTCCCTGTATATACGTTATATCAAAAGAACTGAAGCTATTTACATTAAGCATGCAATTATATATATTTATCATGATATAAGTCTTATTCTCTAACAAATAGGTAAGTATAAGTATTGTTGAAATTACTATACATATCAAAATAAATATAATTGTTTAACTATTTATAAGTTTATATTGATTAATGTCTGACGTCAGAAAAAGAATAATGTAAGAAATTGAGTATGAATGTGTATTTTTACAATATAATATTTAATGGGAAAGTTGAAAGATAGATGTGTGTGAGTATTTACAGTTTAAGTATTCAATATTTTAGAATATTTTAGAATAGAATGTATTCAATCTGATTATAATATTTAGAGAAACGTTTTTATCTTATGAATGTCATTATTAGACTCTTTATACAATATATGAAAGGTATGAAAGATAAGTATGAGTATCTTGTACAACATAGATATTAATAAGGTTTAAGTAAGTATTAAACATGTATTTAGATGTGATGAAACTAATTCTAATATTAACCCTTATCCTATCAACATCACTAGTGATCGGACGATTCCTGTTCGAGCGATTCCTATGTTTTTCTCACATGTTCGATGAATGCGCTTGTTATCTCTCTGTAAAAAAGATTGAGGTGGGGAAGATCTGTGCGCTCCGGCCGTCAAAATGCCTGTGAACAACATCGCACTTACATATGTAGGAACTGCAAAAGATAAAACTTTTCTTTTATACATATTTATTTAAGTATGTATTTACATTTTATATTATATATATATATATTATATTATATATAGTATTTTCTTTTTATTAAAACACATTATATTACAACGAAATAAAAAAATGCATATTTTAACTTGATTTTTTTCTATATATAATACCTTGATTTTTTCTGTATACCTTATTGAAAATTACACATATTCATGTGCTCACATAATTCAACTTTTTGTAGAATTCGAAGTACAATTTTTTTTTCAAAATTTCATATCTAAACTTCAAAACTCTGGAATCATTTTTTTATATTCATTTATTATAATATTACGTCCAGAGGACTCTACGATTCTTTTTTTTCGTGGAAAAATTACAACGAACTGTTTTTTTTGTGTAATTAGGAAATAAGTAGTTTTTTATTTAATATAACAAATTAAATGTGATAAAATAATTAAAATTCAATTTTTCTAGCGACAAATTTAAGAGGAATATCCTGTTTTACCATTAAGGGGGGAAATCAGTAGAGCACGAAAAAGTAAATATATTTTCGGGAATTTTTTTTTGCTCATTGAAATGATCAATCAAAAATTTATAAAATAAGTATTATAATATTATGAATGAAGTACAAATAAGAATTTTTTCATACATTTTTGGTACAAAATGGCGGCTGTGCCGTACTTGTCCGATGGCGCCTATTTTTGAAGGAGGGACCATGGGCGGACATCTAGAGTCCTTAATTTTTGACCTGGAACAAAAAATGACAGTTTTTTAGGTTCTATATATCAATAGCTATGGAAGTACGTAGGATTTTTTCGATATATTAATTTTTCGCAAAATGGTGCACGTTTTAAGGAAAACTTGCAAATTTAACAAAAAAAAACGCCATAAAATTGTTGATAAAAAAAACCATGTAATATAAAAAAAAAGTCTACGCACTTCCATAGAGAAAGGTATTCTGAATACTGTCAAAATTTGAAACCGATCGGTAAAGATTTATTCGAGTTATGTGTCCGCTCAGTTTAAAAAAAGTGGTTTCGAGAAAAATGCGTTTAAAGTTTTGAGTACTGTAAAATCATATAATATTTTTATATACCTCTAATCTGCGATGCTGCGCCATACAATTGGCCTTCTTCATCTATCTCCTGCTCTTGTTTGGCTTTTTGAATTGTTTTCAGATCGATGCGGGTCTGTTTTGCGCCCTCACTCAAAGATCGTTCCGCTTTCTGTATGCGTTTCTCATCCAAGTCCATGCATAGTTCGTGACTTTTTGGGCCAATTTTCATGCCCATGACCTGGATTATATGTAAAATTGATATTAATCCGTCATTAAAAACACACGAAGCGATGTTCGTAGCAATGTCGATGATTATTTTGCCGGAATTCATAGTTTTCGGAGCCATCACCCACACTGTCGAGTTGAAGCTCTCATTGCTGTTTTGAGTGAAACCCCCGATGCAGCGAGTGAGAAGATCATCCGTAGTGAGTTGTTCGTAAACTGGCTTAATTGCTTCATAAACTATATCAGACATTGGTGATTTGTGCGTATAGGTAGCCAAAGTGTTAGAAGATTTCGCCCTTTGCCACGAGCACCATGAATTTTCTCCAGTCGGGCAATCGTCGTGTTGGGGATGGTTATCCGTAGATATTTTGTGAAGTAATGTGACCCATATAGCTGTCTTCATTTTTTCGACTGATTCGAAATTTCTACGAATAGCTAACCCGAAATATATTGACAGTTCGTCGATCAGTTTGCCTGTCAATTTCCCTTTTCCTCCCAAGCCTTTTGTGCATTTCTTCAAATTACAGAGGTGGGTGCCCATGCGTTTTTGTACGTGATCTACGCATTCCTTTTTAGTTATCGTCGTTTTCGTACGGTTTAGCATCTGTGACACCTTTGAAGGTTTTCAAGTCTCCATCGCCTACATAACTTACATACTGCACATCATGCAATGCTTCAGAGCGCTGGAACATTTCAATGACTGCATTTGCGGCACTCCATCTTTTGGTATGTTATTCTTAAGACCCTAAAGTACCTTATAAGCGAAAAAACATTTTTTCGATTTTTTCAAACTTTTACTGTGGTTTCCCCCCTTAATTATTAAAGATTCTTTTCTCTTAATTGTGTTTATGGATTAAAAAATCCTTCTCCACAATTAAAGTATCGACAACAACGCAAGCTACATTTAAATACGAAAGAAAATTGAAGACTTACAGTTTTATTATCGGCTTCTGTAGTCAACACGTCACAATATGTGCTGCATATAAGAGTTTCAGACCCTGCACGTTCATAAAAAGTAGCTAGCGAATTGCAGAAAAAACCTGAAAGAACAATTCTATGTTTTTATAAACAAGGTAGAGACTTTAGTATAAGAGAAAAGAGTCTTCGAAAATTTCGTTTGTATATTACGAGTGAAGTCATGAAACCGAGCAGTATTTTAGTGTCGCGATATTCCAACAGCGGCGCTGTCATGAAAGGTGCGTCATTGAATCATAGAAATGATCTGAATTATCGACCTACTCAGGTCCATATCAATAAACGTTCTTACGTGCCTTAGTCAAAGTTTTTTCTTTTGAGAGAAAAAATAATAAGATAAATGTAATATTAGTTATTTCAATTTTGTTGAAATAATTTCTTTATAAACAAGAAATGTACCATATTATTTACATGAATACAAATGAAGATAATTATTTTAATTGCGCTGTTCTGTTTTTTACATTTTATTTAGTAAATTATTGATGCATATTGTGACGTGACGTTTTCCGTCCGTCATAAGGGCCGCATGGCCTGACCGAACAGTGCAGTCTAGCGTCCTGAGTCCTCTCACATTTTGGGAGGCGGACGCACCTGCGCTTTTTTCCGCAACGTTGTTTGCGTATCGTATGCGTTCCGCGTTACCGTTTTCGTTTTTCCTTTCCTGTGTATTCTCGTATCGAAAGTTACAGAGGCCGGCGACTCCCGCGATCCTGACAGAATGACGCCACCTCACCGGAGAGAAGAGGAAGAAGAACGACCAGGAATGGGAGTCAAGAGACGACCGCTGCTGACGGACGGGGGTGCACGACACCTAACCCCGGGTCGCACGCAGATGCATATCGTTCATTATTACGCCCTTTTTGTTGTCGCAAGGCATTTCCTATCGCACGCTCTTCACGGCGCAAAGCGGACCGAGAATTGGAATAGCATGACGGGGGTGGCCACTCTACGTCCCAAGGACGGCGAGAGCCCCGAAGAGGCACCTCGAGGCCACGAGGTGGCCCGAAAAGGATCCTAAGACCTCTTGAATTTCGCGCGCCAGGACATGCGACACGAGCATGACGCGGTTCCCGCGATTAGCGGAGCCACGCGCCAATCAGACGCGACAAGCCCCCCCCTCGCGGGGATAACGAGCCCTGCTCCCGGGAGGATTAGCGCCCGGTACTTGAGCTGTGGCCCGCTTGGCGAAGGTACGTGAGAGAACGCAGGGCGTACACGAAACGAGAGCCTTCCAAGGACGACCCTGACGAGCACCTGCGAGGGAGTCACGGTGAGACGAGCGTCACAGTTCTAAAGTCGCCGGTTTCCGCGTCAGGAAGGCGTAGTTATATCGGAATTCTGTCGGGTGATAGTGAGTAGGATAGTGAGTGCACGTGGCATTGCCGTGCGGTAGATTTTCGGAGATTTCAAGTACGCGTGTCGCCTCCCGGAACGGCCCTTATCGTCGGGATCATCCTACTGCGTCCGCCAAGGTCACAGCCTCGTCACTCGTTGTCGGTTTTTTGCCGCGGATCATATGTTGTGTCGAGTTCCGTACCGTAGTATTGTCGCGTATCGTGTCGTCTGTAGCGTAAGATTTGCATGTCTATTCGGCCCTCTGTGTCATAGCCATTAACGACGATTTGTAATAGCCATTGGTAATTGTGCGTTTTCTGTCATATCGAGACTGCGTAGTGTCGAGTTTGCACGTATTCGAGTCTTCTTTGCATCTCGGTTAAGCGGCGCGAGGCCCCGCGAGAGCGCACGAGCTTACGCCGTGTCCACGCTACAATCGTTGTCGAATTCTTTAGTATTCGCGAGGCGATAAAGTATTGTTAGTATAATTCGCGAGAACATCCCTGTGTGGCGTGAGCTCGTGTAGCGAGAATCTAACGAAGTTGATACGTCTAGCGTAAAGCCTCGGGGCCTGTGCGAGTCCGTTATCGCGCTCAAATAGAATTATCGTCTCGATTGTATCACCAGATGTAAATGCAAGTCGAAGACTTATTTAATATATTTGTTATTTTTGTTATTGTTGATTCGTGTGTACTTTATTCTCGCCTCTATTCGTTCCTCCAAACGATCCGCTCCTCGACCGCGAACCGCCCCTTCTGCCATTTCCGAGGCTGAGCTACCGGTTGAGAGCCCATCGACATTCACAGCTCATTAGAATATGGCATTAAGAAAATATCGCGTAGTTTCGAGAAAGAGTGGCACGCTCGCTCGTGCCTGGCATCCAACTATTGCTTTGTGAGTGTGTGTGTTGCCCTTAAGAGCGGCCGCGTGAAGACGCTTTTCTGTCGCGTTTCGTTTAACGCCACCCGTCATCCGATCGTCTACGAAAATCTTAGCTGTGAGTGTGCGACGAAGTTGCGCCACGCTCGTGAGTGTAGTTGCAATATATTAGGTCATTTAAAAAGTATCCGCGGTTTTTTAAACCGCGGATACTTTTTAAATGACCCAATATATAAAATAACATATACATATTTACATGTATGTGGATATATATATATATATATGTATATATAATAGTATACATACACACATGCGTGCGTGCGTGCGTGCGTGCGTACGTGTGTATGTGTGTGTACATATATACATGTCTAAATTTTATTTACTGAATTATTTACACATACATATATCAGGACTCAAACGCGATGTGTTTCGGTTGAGCTTCGATTTTGCTCGGATGTAGGAACGACAAGCGACAATCTCGTAGCAGACATAGCATATAAATGAAATTTTCGAATACGCTCATTGCTCTTATACTAAAGCTCATAACTCGTTTCTGCAAGCATAGTATTATTTTTTGAGATTTTCTGTAAGTCGCTAGCTATTTACTTTAAACGTGCAAGATTTGAAATTATTGTATACAGCACATTTTTTATTCGACTCAGATGTCGAAATGTCGATTTAATAAGAAACGCCATTCCTCTTATCGCGCGCAAGCGAAGTATCGCTATTTAACTACAGAAATGGATTTAATCATTGTATTATATAAAGCAATATATTATCGGCTCGAAACGCTATAATAATAATATATTTTTGTATATATAGAAATATTGGGTCATCTAAAAAGTATCCGCGGTACTTTGTCACTAGATATATGACCATCAACGCACATCTAGTAACAAAAAATACTTTTTAAAAATACCGCGGATACTTTTTAGATTACCCAATATATATCTGGATCGTTGTTTAGAAAAGAAATCATGCGTCCTTGCTGCATCGATGATGCTAAATCAGAATCGACAGAAATTACATTCTTGAATTGCAGAACGAATTATTGAAATAGAAATACGACAGAGTGAAACACAGAAAAAACAAAAAAGGATAGAACCTCCGTTTGTAATCGGTGAGGTTCCGCATGCCGAGCCGGGTTCGTCGAATGAAACAGCGAGTCTATCCTTCAGAGTCTGCCCCCCTCTCCCCCTCCCTCTTCTCTCCCCCCTCTCTCTCTCTCTCTCTCGAGTTGAATTACTCGCGGTAATGCGTATCCGCGCCTTCTCGCTGAGTATATTGTCAGCCGCGTGTCGTTCAGTGAGATTGCTGTGCGAATACGTTATGTCGTGCTCGCGACACGCAACATCCAATGAATTAATTCTTTGATCATCTCTAGGAATATATAATTCAAAAGGAAGCGCGTTTATCGCACGATTTAAGAAGCCTCTTGATGACATCGCAATTCTTTATCAAAGGCACCGGACCGTCGATATGCATTTGTTGATTCGATAAATTTTAATGCTTCAGACACCGACAGTATCGTCGTAACTCTGAATCTGCTTGCATATGTTCTGGTCCACAACAAATCTATGCAATTTTCAAATTCTCATAGTGTGCGAGAGCGCACCGCGCGGACAGATTCGAGTGAGAAAACGGCACAAGGTTGATATGATGCACGACAGTGAAGAGAACTCCGTTTCATTTAATTTAACAAAAGAATTTCTTTAATGTATTCAATTACAAAGTCAAAAGATATAATTAATTAAAGATCAGATTAACAGAATATTAAATGCGGTCACCTTTTCCAAATTGAGCTTGGAATCGCGGTGATGGAAAATCTCGGCGATTTTCCTCGAAGCTTCGCGAAAGTTTCGGTTTATAGCGATTTCACTAAACGGTTAGCACGGCGATTTTACGAAGCGAGATTATGACTCTAAGAACTCTAAGAACTTTTTGGAAGTAAGCAGGAGGACGGCGAGATCGAAGCATTTATTGCTTTCGGCCTGAGCTTTCCCTTTTGGGAAAAATCCAATAAAAATTTGCCACAATCGTAATTATTACGTGGCATTAGGTGTACAAAATTGATTGGCGCTTTGGATTCTTTTCTAGCGACGTTCAACGTAACAGTCATGCGCGACAGAAAATCCGTGCGTGGGATTGGTGACAGCGCGTGACGTATTCGTCGGAGCGCGGCGCTCGCGTGCGCGAATTGAATTGTTCTAGAACCTTCGATTGTCCGTTGCCGGTAACGACAACTTGTTTGCGTGTAACGAATTGTTTTTAAAAAGAACAAAGAACGACGAATTTGATGATTTTAACGAGGATTAAAATCATGTTTGAGATGAAATCACGAGCTCAATTTGTGCATGCGTTCAATGACAATTAATGTCGATCGACTGAAAGAATTCTTGCTTTTCTTTCGAATTA